ATTTCCTGATCAACATGTGCTGTTCTTAGCAAGCCTGTTTTGATCTGGCAGTTCTTGGGCTTCTTTATAGAAAGCAGAAGCATGTTAAAACAAGCAGACAAATGTGAGAAGCTGAGGATATGCACTAGAATCCTGTAAGAAACGACTTCATGTGCTCCTCTCGACTAATCTACCCAGGTGCAGGGAAGTGGAAAACACCCCCCCGGGTTGTGACCCCATCTCACCAGGCTGCTCTTGCCACGCAGGATGCCCGGGGATCACAGTTTAGACCCTGCTACTTAGATACAGGCAGGGACAGCATCTCTGCCTCAGCTCCCGGCTAACCTCATCTGTTAATGAACTGCACGCCAGTGTATGATTTAGAACAGAGGGAGAAGGAGGACAAGAATTTTTGAAGTGAATTTCCCAAACAGCTTCCCATTCTTTAAATCACAGAGTGACAGCAAAGAGGACAGATTTCATGCAAAGATAATTCTTTTTTGTCTCCAAACACACAGGACATTTTGCATCCATAGTTTACCTTGCAGGATGCTAACTGGTAATTCTAACAGGGACTTCACTCTCCTGATCTTTATACTAGAACTCGACAAACAAAGGTTGAATGAACAAGGCCCAGTATGTGGAATCCTGAATGTTCACCCTTGTACAGGCCATGGTGCTATGGGTCCCTGGAGCACACTTAGACCCCAGCCAAGCCTCAACGACTTGCTTGGTTGTGGCTACTTTCATCTGCCATTACATCCTCAGGGCTAGATGGTCTCTCTCTATCCCCCGGCATGTGCCTGGGAGTGCCTTGTCTTTAAGCATTTCGCTGTTATGTCCTGTCATGTTCAGGACTCAGGGCTTGGTGCTGGGTGATACCTAACTAATCTTAAAAACCAAATATTGTAACATGCCCACATAGGGATTGCAAACTGGTGGGCCTGGGGCAAGACAGACTTTGCCCTTCATAGTATTTGTTTTTAAAAAGTGAATTAGTTACCAATGAATTTCCCTAAGAATCCAGATCGCTAGTTTCTCTTTGAAAACATGGGAAGAACTGGTCTTACTAAATTTGCATTCCTGCATGGCATCACGGCTGGGTGAGAAGGCCTTCAACTCCTTATTCCCCACCCAGCCTGATCTTATAGGTCCTATTACTTGCCTGGCCCCTGAGACAGCTGGAGCTTTTGACCCCTGTGCAAGCAGGTGCTAGTAGATTGCATTATGAATGTAGGTACTTCACCTTCATTGCAAAAAGGACTTTTCATAGAGAGTAATCTAGGCTGGTGGTCTCCAACACTGGCTGGACATTAGAATCCCCTGAGGAGCTTTGATCAAAACACCAATGTCTGATCAATGGAATCCAACTCTCTGGGGGTGGAGCCTGAGCGCAGGTATGTTTGTGAAAGTCACCAAGTGATTCAAATTTGCTGCTAAAGTGGCGAACCATGGGCTTAACCCAAAGAGGTGACCTGGATGTAGGAAATTTCAAGCAGACCATGGCAGAGCTAGGTTCAAGCCACAGGGCTCCTGTACCTCCTGCAGCTTGATTTGTGGACAGGGATGGAGAATGTTCCTGCCCTTTCTTTTCCTGCCTCTGAGAGGAGGAGGCCTGGCTGTTTTGACTTTTTTCTACGCAATGCTCTGAGGAGCAGCACCTGAGATTAAGAGAGATAAATGAAAGGCAGCCAAAAGATGACCTTTGAAAGACCACTGCACTGGCCCACAGCGGAACCACCGGGCCCCAAAGGCCGCCTTTCCCGAGACCACAGCGGTCCCAGGACTGAACGAGGGCACTCACCTGAAGAGCTCGCGGATCTCCCGGCTGTCAGCCTGGAAGGGGATGTTCCGCACCAGGATCTTGGAGGTCGTCTGCTTTCTGGGCACTTGTTTCTTGCGAAAGGATGTCAGGGCTGGCCTAGAATGTGGAGGGAAAAGGGTTTAGGTTATTCAGGGTGTCAGCGGCTCCTGCCCTTCACTGACTTCACCGCCTTCCTGCTCAGAACTGATGCTCTGGTCTTGTGTTTAGGTGATGGATTCAAAACATGTGTGTGGAGCAGGCCGAGATGAGAGGGGAGGAAGGCCGTGTCCCCCTGGGTGACATGGCCATACTCTCTTCTCCCCAAACAGCTGGGCATGGCGGCTCCACACACCCACCCTTGGGCTGCTGCCTCCACTTGAGAGACTTGGGCTACCAGGGACTTAAGAAAGGCAACTGGGTGAGGGCGGGGCTGGGTTCTCACCAAACCCACTCTCCACTGCTTCTCTCCAGAGGCACAGGAAGACCCTGGCTGGTTACCAAAGGTCTCATTTGCGACACTTCCTCACTAACCTGAGGAGGACCGTGCAGGGGCCTAATCATGGAGAGGGGTCTCTTGCCTGGGGTTCAAGGTCATCCCTAATGCAGTCTACCTTACCTGCCCCCTGCTCTCCCAGGGAAACATTCCGCTCCATGGAAGCAGGGTAGTAGGCAAGGCTGTGAGTTAACAAGCTGGGTGGGAATACCAGGTCGGACTCTCAGGATCTATGTGATCTTGGGCAAGTTACTTGGCCTCTCTGGGCCTCAGTTTCCTCATCTGTAGATTGGGTGTAATAATAGTGTTGACCTCGTCAGATCATTTGAGGAATTATTGAGAGAGGACTTAGCACTGTACCCACCAGGTGGTAAACATTCAACAAATGGCAGCTGCTATTATAATGACATTGTTACAACTCCCTTCGAGCCTGCTCCATGTCATCTCCTCTGAGGACTTCCCTGTCTCCACTAAGACAGCAGCCCCACCTCCACCCCTGCCCCTGGCACTCATCACTGCCTCATGGCGTGTTACATATTTAATCATGTTTCTCTTTATTGTCTCGACACGCTAGGTCTGTGCTGTCCAAGACAGTGGCCACCAGCCACATGTGGCCAGTTAAATCAACATGAAATGAAACAAAACTAAAAATTTACCTCCTCAGTTGCTGGGGCAGTCAGCCTCCAAGAGTCCCCAATAACCCCTGCTTCTTGGCATTCATGCCCTTGTGTACTCTCCTCCCACACAGTATCAGGAGAGGTCTGTGTGACCAAT